TTCCCGAGTTGGCAGCTTACCCATAAAAAATTTTGGAGGGCTCGTACGTGGGTACCACGCGGGTAAGGGCGCCCATTTTGGGGACTGTGCCCTGCACGTGCATGTAGATTAAGTTCCCAAAGTTTCAGCCTTGTGGCTTTTATAGGTCTTAAGATGAAAAATCGGTGCAGACACATACACAGATGTACATACAGACACACGGACACACAGACAACCCCTCGCCAATATGGGTTTTCTGCATTGCACAGCTGCAAAAAACGCACAAAAATTGACTTCCCACCTATCTCAACCTATAAATGAAGACTGTTCGAAACAGTCTAGAGGCTTCTCCACTAAAAAATTCAGATTTTAGCAAAAACTGCACCTTCGCAGCAGCTTTCATAGCATCGATAAGCATTCTGATCTGATCATCGTAGGCGCCACCGATATCAATCGAACCATCACGACGTCGCCTACGTGGCCTGTGCCGTTCTGCCTTCTTCTCACGCATCATAACATCAAAATCCCAAACTTTTCTGCAAAATATCCAATGAAAAAGTGAAATGAGCGAGGGGAATTTCAGAACTACAGAAACCTGTAAAAACTAACGGCGTTTTTAATAGGAAACATTTGTAAATTGTTCAAATTAATACACAAAAAAGCCAGCAAAAGCAAAGTACCATTCATGTGTGGTCGATGTAAATGCATAAAATCTTTCGAAAATAACAAATTTGAAGCTTGCCCCGTTAAAGTGTTGTAGAAATTTTAGAGATGCAAACAATGAACATCCCTGGCTAGGAAATTGGAAGAGGGGACGGGGGCCTGAAATCGCCGATGCGCTAACATATGCAATTTGTTTGGCACTGTTGGCCCACCATGGAAAGAAGCACAATCGAATTTTGGCAATTAATGAAAACAGTGGAAGTGGTGCCATTTAGATCGCCCAAATAAGCAAGCCTGTATATATAGTAACTTGGTAGATTGACTATGTTTTATCCCTGAGCTGTAAACACAGACGGCAGAATCGGTGCGAATTGGGGTGGGAATCATCAGTACAGAGCCCCATATTACCTTTTTAAAGTACCCCTGCCCCAGGTCCGTATTTCTGTGAATGAGAAAAAAGACTGTCGAAACTAATACATGTGAAGAAACTAGCAAAGCTGACGTGCTAAAAAGTGTATTAAAAAAATATATAAACAAATTACGCCAAGGTTATACACAAATACGGGCATATATACATGTTATTCTTTTTTTGTTTTGCGCTTATTCCACGACGCGAAATGCGAAATACAATATATACCATGAGCGATGAAGAAAGGATAATTTAACAAACCTATCATCCTCGTCAACCTCATCACGAATATATCGCGGCTCATCTTCATCGTCATCTTCTGCCCCGCTTTTAGCAGTCTAAATGTACGTAATTTTACATATCAAAATGTCTGGAACCGTACACACATATACAAACACACACACATACACACACAAATTCAAACATGTAAATAAACACGTATAATTTTACAAATTCATATACATTCATGCACATATACACGTATACATACACAGATACAGACATACATACATACACACACACGTACGCAGACATACAAACACATGCAAACATACAGCGTAGACATACTAGAACAAAACACATATATTCGAAAACACAAATATGTACAAATGTACATAAACACCTATAATATCTACTTTAATCAATAACGCTCAAAATTCGATTAATCCGGAAGTAAATCAAACAAACGAAGGGGGAAGTAGACAAATCCCTGATTTGAGGATATAAAAGAAAGTGCTAAGCCAGACTTTGGGGAAAGTCAGAAGAAAAAAGGCCCAAGACGGCTCTAAGACCGTAGCAAAATCTGAGCCAAAAAATTTTATACCAAGAGAATGCCACAGCTAACACCTCCTTTGAGAATTTCGTGCCTATCGGTGCTATCCAAAACAGGCAAGTAGAGGATTGAAGGGTCTGAAGTAGCTAACTGCAGCATTTTCAAGCATCGGAACTCTACACTGACAAGCCAAGCAATCCAGGACGACCTCCTGAAGGAGGAGAGGGTAAGGGTGGGAGGGGAGTGAGGCTCCCAGGGGGTGTGGGAGGGGGTGCGGAAGAGAGTTTTCTTTAGTTTTAGCTTTAGATCCAGACTTTTGGAGCACTGGTGCCTATGATCTTAGTGGTTTTCGAAAGAAAAGCAATCACCTGGCTTTGTGACTGATCGTCGGCCTCTTTTTCATCATCACTATCTTCACCAAATATATTGGTCATTAGCTGACCAACACCAACCTCTGCGCTGTCGCCTTCACCTTCCGAATCACTCGCTTCCCTGAAAGCAATTCCAAATCAAGGTCTAAAGCTAAAACTGGAGTAAACTAAAGC